ATCGGGTGGTGTGTACTTCCGAAACTGATTGCAGGGATATAACTAAAGACAGGACAAACTAACAAAAACATAAAAACAACTGCGGAGCACGCCACGGAGGCAGCCATCAGCGTCGGCGCCATTTTAAAGATCTTAAAAGATTTTAATCGTTAGCATAAGCACGGCTAACGCTAATATAATGAGCATTAGAATGAAGTTTCTTTATTAACTATTTAATGCTCCTATAACTTTTATTAGGGTAAAAAAAAACAGGAGGACATGATGATATTTACTATTTTTACACACCAGAGGCTTTTAAATTAATTGTGAATCTATAATATATATGTGTTAGAGAATGTACAAATGGTTAACATTGTCATATCAGTCAGAAAAGCAGTTCTGGGCTTTTTAAAAAAAAAGAAAAAATTCTTAGCTAACTTAGTTAATTGTTATTCTTGGCTGAATAACTTTAGAAGGTTTTAAAAGCCCTTTAAAATTAAATATGTACACAGTTTGGATTAAATGAAAGTAACGTCACATTTTATCTCCTGTATAGACTTTACAATAAGATACCATTCATTAACATGACTTCATGTTATTATCTAACATCAACTTACAGTGAGTGAACAATATATTTTTTACAACATTAATTGGCGCCATTTTAAAGATCTTAAAAGATTTTAATCGTTAGCATAAGCACGGCTAACGCTAATATAATGAGCATTAGAATGAAGTTTCTTTATTAACTATTTAATGCTCCTATAACTTTTATTAGGGTAAAAAAAAACAGGAGGACATGATGATATTTACTATTTTTACACACCAGAGGCTTTTAAATTAATTGTGAATCTATAATATATATGTGTTAGAGAATGTACAAATGGTTAACATTGTCATATCAGTCAGAAAAGCAGTTCTGGGCTTTTTAAAAAAAAAGAAAAAATTCTTAGCTAACTTAGTTAATTGTTATTCTTGGCTGAATAACTTTAGAAGGTTTTAAAAGCCCTTTAAAATTAAATATGTACACAGTTTGGATTAAATGAAAGTATAGTCAAATTTGTTAATTAGCATGTTTTTGTGTTTTGCTTTGGTACCGAAATTGGTACCGAGAACCATGGATTTTCACTGGTATTGGTACCGAATACTGACATTTTTGAAACCGTGACAACACTACTCTCTATATTGCTCTCTCCTGTGTAAAAGTCATCTCATCTGAATCAGGAGAGGAACAGGCTCAGATCAAGCACCAGTTATAAGTTAAAACAGCTTAAAACAGTTCTAAACAAATATGTTTTATATTCTAAGCAAATATAATTACATATGTCACTATGGATTCGGACATGTATTTTAGCTAGAAGCAACAGTTAAAATACCTTAATGATGGACTTATTACAAACACAAAGCTTTGTACTTCACAAGACATTAATTGATGGAGTAGAGTCATGTGGATTTTATCAGCTGTTTGGACTGGCACTTTGGTCATTTTGATGGCACCCATTTACTGCAGAGGATCCATCGGTGAGCAAGTGATGTAAGTTTTAACAGGAATAGTTTAACTCTTACTGTAATTTTAAACCAATTTTCCCCTCCTCTCTCTGCATCTTCTGCTCCGAATCTGTATGCATTTCCCCCTCCAATCTTGTCCATCCACCCCTCTCCTCTCTGACTAGAACGGCCATATGGAATACTGCAGGAAAAGCATAACATGGATTGGGAATTACATGAAACATTCCTTACATAGATACAATCTTTATTTATGAAGCTGAATCATTTGCAAAAACACTCACAATCTGTGTTGGGACTTCCCATACTGACTAGCCATCACAGACACATCAACACTGCCGCCCTGAAACCTGCTGCGGGGTACCGTCCCGAACGGCTCTGGGGCTGCACCTCGATGCTGCACGCGAACTGCATCACTGTGTAGACGAGCCTTGATTGACCCCCAACCTCGACGCACCCCCAACCAGCGGCCATCATGATCTGAAACACAAACATGCATCACAAATATCAGGTTTTCCATAAATGGCAGTGTGCCACTGTACATTTGATAAGATGTGCTTATCAGTTTAGTGTTCAATATATTAAACATGCAAATTGTAAAAAAAAAAAAATAATTATAATAATAATAATAAAAACACCTCTAGCACAGGCTGTTGAAACAGGTTTTGATAACAAAAATGAAAAATTTCTTGAATGCAGCACACCATCTAATATTTTTAATAAGTCCATTTAATTTTTTGATTAATGAAGACATTATAAATACAACAGATATGTGAAGTTACATTCAATATTATCCATGTTAATATTTAAATGAGAAGTCATGCAAAACATTGATAATGGAGGTCATGCACTTTTGCATTTGTTTGCAAAAGCAATATTACATTTGCTTGCTATTTATGTTTAGGATATTTTTAAGTGCTTGTCATCCTAAAACAATCTTCTGCAGAACTACTACATAAAGAAGACATGAAATAGACACAGTCAAACACCACCAAACAAATCATGAGGAATGGAATAGTATTCTAGCCATATCTCTGTTTACATGGACAACAATGTCATTGTTTTAAATTAAACTTAAATTGTCCAAATACAATACAAAGGCCTGATAGCAGCAAGGTGCAGTTTTACCTGTGAAAGAGCTTTCAGTGCTCCACACCTCTCTAACTACAGCAGAGCCACTGGGATCTAAAGGAAGGGGAGGAAAAGATTCAAGCATCACAGACTGTTGTTGTTCATGGACTGTACAAGAGCAGCGTCCGATAACTACAAAACTACTGAGTTCTTATTTCGTTAACTAGAATAAAATTATTTAAAGGATATATTTCATTGTAAAAACTTAAATAGAGTGTTCAAAAAATTATTTAAAGAAAATGGGGAATCTGGGAATTTTTAGGGAATATGCTAAGAGTTTAAAATGAATAGTTGAATATGATGAACTGCTTTCAGGGTAATTTCTTCAATAACAATTACTACTGCGCAGTTCTTAAAACAACATACTGAAATACAATACCCATAATGCATCAACAAGCATTAAGTTAATGAAAAACTACAATTCCCAAAATACACTGTCATTCGGGTTTCTCGGCGCCAAAAAAATTAACTTAATTCCTAACGTTACTTTCTTACTACGTATTCAAACACGGATTAATTATATTTAGCTGTGTGTAAACAATACTTTTGTTTTAATAGAATGTCGCCTTTGCAGATAATGGTGGAATCGTTTTTTCCGACTTTTCTACGGCATTCTAGTTCTAAGTTAGCCTGTATTTCATTTGTACACTAAATTGTACAAATATTGCTAGCACCGCAGCGAGTTGCTTTTGTTCCTCTTTTGTAAGTCGCTTTGGATAAAAACGTTTGCTAAATACATTATGTAAATGTAAATTATATAAATTCGATGATAGCAACATATAACATTCAAATATTACATATTTTTCTCATCTTTGGTGCACAGTGGAGTAAAATATAACAACTACATGCCCAGAAACACATGCTCCTACATGTACTGCAACTTTGAAATGTATTCCAATAGTTCTATCTGCACGTTTGTCCTGTTTAAAACATTCTAGGTTTCATTTGACCCAATTCACCATGAATTATCAGTATTTGCATTGAACACTAATAGGGGAAGACATCACTCATCATCATCATCACATGCTTCACTTTTTGCACCGAATAATGTTGACGTGCTAAAGGTTTATTAGTAATATAAAAACAACAATGATATAATGAAAATGTAAAGACGAGCAGCTGATCACAATCAAACCTGTCAATAAATCCGCATTAATCAATATCATGCCGTGCAACTTTTGTTCAGCAACGTTACTGTTTCGCAAGACACTAAACCACATGTTGATATTCGGACATAAATCATGATAACATTTGTACCTGAAGAACTCTCGCAAACCCGTGTTATCACAGACAGGTTGGGGTACCATTCCCGGTATCGAGTCATCTTGCACCGACTCAATTTTAGGTAATTGCGCGCAACCGCTTGCACGTGCTCTTACGCGAAAATGCGCTTCATCTTGCGTAGAAAACAAAAGCCTGCAAAAGTCTCAAGAGCAAACAGTCTTGCATGGATCCGTTCCAAAACACAAGCATAGAAGGTAGTTGCATTTTCTAACTAACCTTTCTATAAATTCGAAATTTTTTAAAAATATAACATGCATCATTTATTCAGCTGGGTTATTAATAAACTAACCATATTTTTTTTAAGCACTGACATTTAAAAAGTAGTCAATTTTAAAACTAGATTTTTGAAATAAAATGTGATTTGTTTGTGTTGTGGCCAGTTGCTAGGGTATTGCCATGGTTGCTAATGTGTTTTGAGTGTTAGTACGTTGCTATGCAGTTGCTAGTTTGTTGTAGGTGGTTGCCAACTTATCCAAGTCAAAAGAGCCAAGCCTGCTTTCAGGTGTAAATGCTACTCTGGTCACTAGATATGGATTGGTGTGCAGAGCAAATCTATGTAGTGTTGTGCCAAGTGAAAATCAGTGCAATTGCTTAGAAAATTAGTAACTCATCTCCCCTCAAGAAGCTACACAATTTGAGATATTACACTCTAAAAAATGCTGGGTTAAATACAACCCAATTGCTGGGTTTGTCCCTATTTTACCCAGCACTGGGTTGTATTTAACCCAGCATTTTTTAGAGTGTATGCATGTCTGTAGCATAATATGTGCAATACGGTGATGCTTATTAAAGGGAAACATATTTTGAAGAATGTTGGTAACCAAACAGTTGGAAAAAATACTATGCAAGTCAATGGCTACCGTCAACTGTTAGTTACCAACAATCTTCAAAATATCTTCATTTGTGTTCAACAGAAGAAAGATACTCATACAGGTTTGGAATAACTTGAGGGTGAGTAAATGATTATATAATTTACATTTTTGGGTGAACTGTCCCTTTGGATGATCATTAGCTGTGTGTCTAACAGAAAGAATACACAAACAATACTTTTAGCATATCAAACATTTAATAGACAAACTTTTATATGTAAAAAAAAACTGGTGACTAATTCCACAAGAACATTTGCAAGAACAATAGCAACACACATGCTTAATTAATACTGTTAACTGTAAAGCTTTATAGACCTGTAACGATGTGTAATGCCCAAAAGACTGTTCGGTTGTCTATTGATAGATCCAACATGAAATCATCTGTATATGCGAGTATATATGAGGTCACTCTCAGCTTTGCTCCCCTGCTTGCTTGATGGCTTCACCCAGCAAAGTGATGAGGGAGGTCAGTCCGATGAGGTATCCATCCTCCCTGTTTCCCTCCACCCATGGAACATCATGCCTTAGCCGGACATCCTCTGGGGTTGGGATGGTCTTTCCAAAATCGATCATCCATATGTTTGCTTTGCTGCTGCAGTCGTGGACGAAAAGTAAAGAGCTGCCTATGAGCTGTGAGAAGTTGAGATGATGTTAATTCAGAGGCAGAGCGGAATCAACATTCCCATAAACTGTGTTTTGAGATTAAAACAGAGCTGTACAGCTTTAAATTTTATGTTTGAGGTAAATGTGCATGATTTATATTGTAGAACAAACATGTAAAGTCTCTAGAGAAATTCCACAGCTCAAAATGGCAATTCTCTTCTTATTTTTAAGGCTTCAAACTGAACGTAATGTAGTATAGAAGAAAACTGAAACCATCAGATAATGGTGACAAATTTAAAGTTTCACACTAACCTCATGTCTGTTGAAAAAGCTTGACTCCTTGAGTGCTTCGTTCAGTGCCTGTAATCTGGATTCGTAGGCCTGCTGAGATACACAAAGTGACAAATTGAGGATATTTTGATGTATTTGAGATGAACTGCAATTGTTTTTGATATATAGTAGTCAACATTTGAAGTGGATCAAAACCTTTCATCAAAGTTGTGCTAAAACCTAAAACCAAAATGCATTCTTGTCTTAGGACAACTTTGATTAACTTTTTTGATCCACTTCAAATGTTGACTACTGTATTCCAATTATATTTTCAAGCAGGCATATTTTGTGTAGAATAATAATCATATAAGCATGCTAAAATATACTGTTTAAAGTCAACATGAATCCCCATTCACGACCCAATTTACTTCAACAATGTGACATACAGTATTTCAAGGTAAAACAAGATATGCAAACATGGGCTAAGTGAGTTTAATTTGATCAATTAGGAACTAACTGAATCGCCAGATGTTTTATTTATTTATTTATATCTGTGTGAGTTTTTGAGACTAAAATAATTAGTAAACTTTAAGTATGAAATGGTGTGCACTCACTAGAATGTGAACCTGCCTCCTGGTGAAGTTTATCAGTGTTTCTGTCACTTGAGCTTCTGTGCGTGTCTTGTAAAAGTCTCGTAATACTTTACCGTTCTCCATCTGGAAAAAAAAAATTGTGAGAAAAAGTAAAAAATTGATATGACGGCCAGTTAGTCCTTCAAAGTCCATTCACACCAAAGACAATGACTATAATTATATAGTTTTAAAAACTGTTTTAAATGGAAAAGAATAGCAGAGTCCACAACACACAAATAATGATAATAGCATAGAGGAGCAAAATCGTTGGAATCACTTTCACAACATTTTTTCTTCCAGCTGATGAATGACATTGGCAAAGCATTGACAGCCAATCAGAATTCATCCTGCTTTAAAGATCTTGAGCATTTAAAGCGGCAGACAACAGAACTGCAGCACGTGCTTATATAGTTATCGTTATAGTTATCATTGTGACCAGGTCTTTAGCCTCATGTTTCGTACCACTATGCCTTCTATGCGGAATCCCAGTGAGGAGGTGGAACTGCTGTCATCCCTCCATTGCAGGTAACGCAGCTTCGTCACACCTTTCTGTGCATGTTCTTCTGCTGTGGGAGCTGCCGAATCTACTTTCACCATCTTTTGATACATATCAGAGCGTACACTGGCATTGCTCCTGGCCTTAATGATCTCTTCCTCTTGGTATGTCCTGCAAGTAATGCCATAGGTTCAGATGGTACTGCATTATTGTTCAAATATCGTGCATTTATAAGGTAAATGAAGCATAGAGTAGCGATTAACTTTTTTGATCCACTTCAAATGTTGACTACTGTATTCCAATTATATTTTCAAGCAGGCATATTTTGTGTAGAATAATAATCATATAAGCATGCTAAAATATACTGTTTAAAGTCAACATGAATCCCCATTCACGACCCAATTTACTTCAACAATGTGACATACAGTATTTCAAGGTAAAACAAGATATGCAAACATGGGCTAAGTGAGTTTAATTTGATCAATTAGGAACTAACTGAATCGCCAGATGTTTTATTTATTTATTTATATCTGTGTGAGTTTTTGAGACTAAAATAATTAGTAAACTTTAAGTATGAAATGGTGTGCACTCACTAGAATGTGAACCTGCCTCCTGGTGAAGTTTATCAGTGTTTCTGTCACTTGAGCTTCTGTGCGTGTCTTGTAAAAGTCTCGTAATACTTTACCGTTCTCCATCTGGAAAAAAAAAATTGTGAGAAAAAGTAAAAAATTGATATGACGGCCAGTTAGTCCTTCAAAGTCCATTCACACCAAAGACAATGACTATAATTATATAGTTTTAAAAACTGTTTTAAATGGAAAAGAATAGCAGAGTCCACAACACACAAATAATGATAATAGCATAGAGGAGCAAAATCGTTGGAATCACTTTCACAACATTTTTTCTTCCAGCTGATGAATGACATTGGCAAAGCATTGACAGCCAATCAGAATTCATCCTGCTTTAAAGATCTTGAGCATTTAAAGCGGCAGACAACAGAACTGCAGCACGTGCTTATATAGTTATCGTTATAGTTATCATTGTGACCAGGTCTTTAGCCTCATGTTTCGTACCACTATGCCTTCTATGCGGAATCCCAGTGAGGAGGTGGAACTGCTGTCATCCCTCCATTGCAGGTAACGCAGCTTCGTCACACCTTTCTGTGCATGTTCTTCTGCTGTGGGAGCTGCCGAATCTACTTTCACCATCTTTTGATACATATCAGAGCGTACACTGGCATTGCTCCTGGCCTTAATGATCTCTTCCTCTTGGTATGTCCTGCAAGTAATGCCATAGGTTCAGATGGTACTGCATTATTGTTCAAATATCGTGCATTTATAAGGTAAATGAAGCATAGAGTAGCAAACTAAAATGGTATTTGGAGGTGATCAGAACTAGAAATCCACTGAAATGAATTTTTACAGAAACACTCAAACTGAAGTTTTCATTTAGACGAAAACCAAAAATAAAGTGAAATTTGTGTAAATGGACAGTAGAACTCAGTATGCTGATCATGGTGTTGTGTTCTCAGGTAATACATTAAACCAGTCGGTGTTCACACTGCTGACATGTTGACCTGTTGTAGCTTATCCATGTTGAGTGCACGAAATAGTCCCTCACATGGCCAAAATGCATAATTGGAGAAGCACTAATTGAAAAGTAACTGTTTCGGTCAATGATTTTGGCCCTCCAAAATGATTTTGACCAAAGCCAAAAAAAAATTAAGTTCCCAAAATTCTGGTGTATTAATTATTAGAACATTTGTGCAACACTAATATTCTGTCTTGCAGGCAAATGTATAATGATTTTATAAAACATACCCACAAATTCCATTATTTTAAAGTATTGTCTCACACTTTGAGATACTCAGCTAAACATCGTGACTTAAAGGGATAGTTAACCCAAAAATGAAAATTTTATGTTTATCTGTTTACCCCCAGGGCATCCAAGATGTAGGTGACTTTGTTTCTTCAGTAG